CATATCAGATTGCATGCTCTGTACTTCCAGTCAGCAGGCTAATTACACAGTAATGAAGCTAGTCAAACAGGACAAACATTCACCCATAATGCTGTAATCCTGCCTGAACCTTCTTGTCATCCTTCTTTATGATCTTAAATGGGCCCCAGTGGGCCATTAGAGGGCAACTAGGACGACCACAGTCAACTCCCATGAGAGGGTTGGGGGCGGAGAGGGGGGGCGGCGGGCTCAGGCCATGAAGTAGCTTTGTGTTTAAATGTGTTGGAGAGCTTGGAAATGCTTATGTTTATTTGAAAATCTCAGCAGCCTGCAGGGAATGTCAGTGATGCTACCATATAATGCATAACAGTCACGGGAGGTGACTTGTTGATGGTAGATCAACACAACATGCTCAGCAGAAACCAACTTCAATCACTTAATCCATCTATGATGAAAGCAGGTGTTTTATGTTCATGGTGTGAGGACTGTGATCTCTTCATCAATCATTGCAATAACAGCAGCATCTTGTTCACGCTGTCTGTGACTCAGTTATTACCCATTAATGTTACCAGTTAGAGATTAGTGGAATTTATTATGTTTAATTTAAAAGGATGTTCTAATTTTATTCTACCTGAGCTTGATGTCTGGGCCACCTCACAATTCAGAAGTTGTCCCCACTATAATTCATCGCATTTATTGCATACTTCAACTACTTTTGAAGAAAAAGGGGCAAACATTTTCTACTTGGATAGGTACTAAGTTCTGGTCAAAACAAGAATTTTGTTTTTGTTTTGGGGAATTATAATAATATTAAATATTAATATTAAATGATGTTTGTGACATTTCAAAAGCAAATCATGAAAAAAAAAGAAAATTGAATAAATGATGATGAAAACAGTAATTATTTTCATCATCTTTGCCAGATGGCATAAGTAGGAGACGTTTAAGGCAATAATATCAAACAGTTTGAAGCAAAATTGCTGTTGAAAATGTTTAAAGTTAGCAAAGAAGTCATGAAACCAATACAACGATCTAAAATCTGCCAGCAGTGGGTGCTTCATTGTGTACAAACTGTTACCTGCAGACTGATTCTTATCATAAGAGTCAAAACTGCTCTGTCACCAGTTATTGTTCCAATGTCTCTCTTCAGAAATACAACCAACAGCTTTCAAAATAATATATTAAGACACAACCCTGAGGATAAAAGCTTTAATGTATGGTCTTGGATTGAGACTGCTGACCAATGAGAACTGACAACGTCACAGCGCAAAAGGACGCGTCACTTCCAAACAGAGTGAAGCTGCTGTGAAGGTGAACACCTGTGCGTCTCCGCTGCCGATTGAGTTGTCAGACCGTAACGGTGCGTTCAAGGACAGCTTAGAAAGCAGACACTCCTGCACTGACACCATAACAACACCGTCACCCACGAGTTGGCCTGATACTTGATGTTTTGGGCGAGAGCGAGGCAGGTGCACGACACCATCGTCACTACGCAAATAAAAATAAGTAAAAACTAATAATTAAAAAATAAATAATCCAATAATAAATAAAATAAATAAAAAAATGTAATTCATTATTATCCATTTGCATTGGTGTTTTTATTATTTTGCATTCTGCCCACGCATCGTTTAAAACAGCCAACGAAGATATTTTCCTTTCTGACCAGAAGCTATTAGTATGGCTGTGGGTGGGAGAAAACTGAATCTATAAAAGGTGCCACACATGATCCACTTAATTTGGTATCACACCGACGTAACGTGGAAACTCATCAACACGCGCCTTCATCAGGCTTTTCAGTCAGCCGCACAGTGTGTTTTACAGTGGAAACAGTCCAGTTAAGAATGGAAACAAACACACCCACAGCGCCCCGAGCAGCCTTCTCCTGTATCATGTTATACTGAGAGGCGTTTACAGCTGTTTTGTTTCCTAATACAGGACGACATGCTGCGCTGTAAGAGCTGCCTCTTTACGACAACATTAAAGCCTCCACGGCCTTTGCAAATAGAAATTATTACTATTTTAATTTCTTCAAGGAACAGATTTACCGCAGTTATCGACAGTGACCTTAAAAACATCAGAATGGGTTTGAAATGTCTGTTTGGTTCTGTGTTTATAGTGTTTATAGTGACATTAAACTAAGTTGTTATTTTTATCAACAATAAAAAGATATTTTATAACATTTCTGTGGATTAGTGGGGTGGGCATAAATCGTTTTAAAATTATTAGTTTGATAGTTAACAAAATTAACTTAACGATAATAAATTTTTACTTTAAAAATATTTTAATTAGAATGCAATAAAGAAACAAACGTGTCTTTGGAACCTGTGCATGTTAAACGTGAATATCTACTTCAAAATTAGTTTTTCTTGTAAATGTTTATTATTTAATTCTAGAATGAGCAAAATGTGCTTTACTCCATAATTAACAGTGTTTTCGAAATCGAAAGAAGTGCATTCATATTTATCCTTTGCTTCGAGACTTTTTTTTATTCCTTTTGTGAAACACCTGAGTTGCAGCGCTGAAGATGCACGGCCTCTTGCAAGGGGAGAAAAGACTGTCGGTAACGCGTTACAGCACTATAACAAATTACATTGTCGCTATTATTTTTTGCAGTTGTTGCATTTGTCATCGCCTTCTTTGAGTCTCCAGTGGAGCCTGAATTGCATCCCCTGATATTCGCCCTGGACCGCAGTGAATTAATTTGGTGATTAATGACAGAAAGGTTGGCCTTTACCGGGAGGGAGTTCTCACACTGCTTTGAATTTATCGAGTTAATGGGTGACACAAACACGCTTGGCCCTTCTGATAGTACAACTGTGATCCCTAAAGATAAGAAGAAAAAACGAAATGTGACGCAGTACTACCATTCAATAAACAGCTCCTCACAAAAAGAAGCTTCTTAAATGATTTTTTTAAAGCATTTAACGCGCAATATTTTAGAGAGCGATAACCTAGGAGGCAAAAATCGAAGCGAATCATCCAATTAAATCCCTCAAGAGCTGATGATTGATGGTGTCAGCTGTTCTGCTTCTAATTAACGTTTAAATTAAGCCAGAGGAGGGGAATATGTTTCGGACCAACTTCACTTGAGAACTGAAAGCCAACTGAACCAATAGTGGAAAGGTCTCAGGGTTATTTAGGCTTAAACCCAATTTAAGGTTAATCATGTACAGAAGTCCGGATCTGAGCGGAGCTCAGAGGAGGTCCATCTTTGTGAAGAGCATATAACTACACCTCAAGTAGATTTTTTTGCCCCTTTTATAACTATGTTTAATAGATGATAGGACTAATAAATATGATACAATGCCGAGATGTTTTTAAATGATTTTGAATATTAAAAATGTAAAGAGAGTTTTGCTAAAACAAAACATATATTTAAAAGTACTCGCCCATTTCTATAAAATTAAACCTTTTTTTCTTTTTCTTTTTTGCACAGCAAAATAAAACAAGGTTAGCTTCTAACTTCCTTAAATATCAACCTAATTTTGAATTCAAGTCTGAAGTGTCAGGTTAAATCGCCTTCTTTGTGATATTAATATCTTTTCAGGTACCAGCACTTTCTCCAAAACCGTGCACATTTCTGTCCAAATTCCCTAACTGAATTTATCCCCACCAACTCCTGCTCGTTATGGAGAAATATGTATTCAAAGCAGTCACAAAGGGTGGACCTCCAAGGCAGATAATAGAATTTCCTGCTGTTTTATAGCTCTGTCCCTAAACCAATGTCACCATATGCTCCTGTTGGCACACGATTCTCCGCAGTGGCTTCCTGGGCGGCAGGCTTTACCCAGTGGGGTCACAAAAATATGACTGTATTGTAAAAATGTTTCTCCAGCACTTGTAATATTCAGCCCCCGGCCGCTTTCAGCAGGTGGTGCTCGAATTCTAATACAACTGCTAAAATATGGTCTGCATTGTTTATTTATCATGAGAAGCTTTTGTTGCGTTTTGCATAAAGAAATGCCCATTAAAGTTGCGCTTGATTCAAGGTGGTATAGTTTTAATGTAAGATACACAATTCTGTATCTTAATATCTGAAAAATGCTAATTTAATTCAGCCGACAAGTCTCATGTAATTCATCTAAACGAATATATTATCCAAATCATGACAAAGACCACCGAACCTTAAATAAAACAAGGTGTGTCCCTCTGATCAGACGTACCTGCTGCTCTCCCATGCGTCCCACGCGTCCTCCTTTCTCTCTCTTTTCTCTCTTTACATCCTAAGCCTCCTTCAGTGAAATTCACATTCTCCGTCCTCAGACTCTGAGCCACAGCACGGCGTCACCTTTATTATTCGCTTGTTTCACGGTACAGCATTAAATTACACTGGAACTCTGGGTTTTACCTGCAGGGAAATACCGGAGCACGTGTGGCATTACCAAAGAGAAACAAAAGAACTTAATCGACAAAACCGAATAAACAACTGAGTCCAGAAATGAAGCTGACTTTCTCTGTTCTTTCATCCTCGAATCTGTCCACAAAATGAAAAGATTTTGTAGCAGACGTGTTTTCCCCAGAGACTTCAGCACATTAATATTTTTAAATTTATTTTTAAAATATAATGACAATATTTACTCTCAGATTCCTTATTTCCTGTCGTTAAAAATAATGAATAAAATAAAAATCCAAAAAATATTCTATCGTGGTTCTGTTGCATTTTAATATATCCCATAACCGAGTCCCTCAATGTGCTCATTGTGTCTATTTTTAACTCAAATTTCAGTCCAACAAGGCGTCTGTATAACACATTACGCAAAACGTTATATGCGTAATTACGCACAAAAGTGACAGAACGACTAAATTCACATGACGGCAAGAGATTGTTGCTGGTTCTTTCTTCCTCCAGACTTTTCAATAATGCAGAAATGCTGGTGGCTCTATTCTAATGGCTTTTAACTCTCCCTTTTTTAGGAGAATACTCCAGCAGAGGGAAACAGATGCATAAACATTTCAGGGCATCTTTCTCCTCGGCAGCAACAGACTCCTCCTATTCCCCACGTCCAATTAGTTATTATGGTCCGGCCCTTTAAGACGCAGCAGCGGGTCAGCAAGTAGTGTAGTGTTTCTCTAATTGAACTTCGCCCAATCAACAATAACTCGTTAGCAGTCGCTTTCTTTTTCTCTCTGCCTGTGAAAGCTTTCTTGCCTTGCAGGGTTTCACCCCCTCCAGCCGGTTACTTCCAAAAGATCTACATGGAACTTGGCAGAGGAACTGGGACTCTGAAGGGAATATAGTCCGGCTGCCTTTACAACTACGCCCGAAGCATGGTTATTTTGGAGGAAGGCTCTTACACGAGCTAAGTTGCAGCATTCGTTTCAAAATATTGTGGAGGTCTACGAGAGCACCAGAGGTAAACTTGTGGACGCTTAAATCTGCCATTTGAATGAAATAATCAACTTTCCTGAAAGCAGCACTTCTTCGGGACTGCGATGACCTCCAGTAAAGACATGAAAGCAGGTTCTGTGTTGCAGTCCGGCGGCGAGGAGAGGAGGCGGGCTCCATTGGACCAGCTGCCGCCGCCGGCCAACTCCAACAAACCGTTAACGCCTTTCAGTATTGAGGATATCCTTAACAAACCCTCCGTGAAGAAGTCGGTCGCAAGTATCTGTCCGCCCAGAGTGCTTGAAAAAGTGACGGGCTCCAACTCAGCGAGGAACGGGATCACCACTCCGTCCTCGCCGCTGTGCGCGCTGGAGGAGCTGGCCAGCAAAACGTTTAAGGGTCTGGAAGTCAGCGTTATCCAGGCAGCGGAAGGTAAAAACTTTCTTGACCCAATTTTGAATTTTCGGGAAGGCAGGATAAGCATTCAAACTAGGTTTTAAGGGGAACGAGTACAGTAAATGCGGGATTCAGAACTAAGGTCACTGCTAGCTGGGTTTGTTTTGACTTTTTAATACAGACATGCTAGGACAGCTGTATGGGAATGCGTGTAGAATTCAAGATAAGGAAAATGACACGGAACATTTACGCATGCAAATATGCGTGCATATCATACATAAACTGATGTAAGTGGGTAATCTTTTGAATATGCTCGTGTGTGTTGTCAAAACATCAAGTAGCCACTATGGCCTGCTGCATGCAGCGCTGCGTTGGATTAAATAAACAGATTTTTTTTTCTTTTTACAACTGACGCTATTTTACATCCTGATTCCTGATGTAGGCCTGCAGCAGAAATACGTAAGCATAGCCATTCTTAGTCAACTCACTTATTTTTTTGCTTGGCTAATAATATGGTGGGAATTGAAAGATTAATTTCCAGTGCAAATTTACTTCTTTTTTTTTTTACACAGTATTTAAACCACTCCAAAATGATCGCATCAGTGGTTACTTTGACTCTGCAGGGTAAAATTTAAATGTCCTCGTTAGAAATTAAGTGTGATAAATAGTTTGCTACAAGGAAAATGTCAAAAGCAAGCCCGCAGAGCGTGGTCAGGCCTGTTCTGCACTGCCCTCTGTTGCTGTTGGAGTTTAAGGGTAAGTGACTCTTGCGGCTATTTCATCCCTCTTGTTTTTCTTCTCCCACTCACCCAAGGTCGTGAGCATGTAAATGCTTTTGGACAGAGGCAGACGTCTAAGAAGAGGAGAAAGTCGCGGACAGCCTTCACGAACCACCAGATTTACGAATTGGAGAAGAGGTTTTTGTACCAGAAGTACCTTTCTCCGGCCGACCGTGACCAAATCGCGCAGCAGTTGGGACTCTCCAACGCGCAGGTCATCACCTGGTTTCAGAATCGCAGAGCTAAACTCAAGAGGGATCTGGAGGAGATGAAAGCAGATGTCGAGTCGCTCAAGAAAATCACCCCACAGACCCTGCAGAAGCTTGTCACCATGGACAACATTGAGGACGCCCAGAGTGGGGGCCCCGGGGCCAGATCGCCCAGTATCTCCCCGACTTCTCAAGGACACCGGGCCTTCCCACAGTCCCCCTCCTCGTCAAGAGACCAAACCACGGATGAATTCTCGGAGGATGACGAGGAAATCGAGGTGGACGATTGACAGTCAGGGGGGTCTGTGATTCATAAGCAGCAACAACAACAAAATTTCAAAAGGGGACATTTTTCTTGCCAAACTTTTGCACGGATATTGACAAGAGGAGAATACACACATATATAAACATTTCGGGAAAGTTTTTCCTCCCCCATTTTTCTTTTCCTCTTCATGTTAATTTATTATTGGAACTTGTAAAGCCTTCCGGGTCTGTCATTTAAGTTTCACCACAAAAAAATCTGAGGAATCCCTGCTATTCTTTCAGACAGACCAAATTGTTATGGTACAGGAAGACTGATAATTGTATAGACTAAACATTTAAGTATACATTTTATTATTTCGTGATTCAAGGGGGTGGAAAAGTTGTGCAATTATTTTTGCCATTTATTCGCCTTTTTTAATAAAATTAATCGGACGTGACAAATATTTAAATCACACCCCCTATGATTTTTTTAAGCAAATAAACCCCAACTTGTAGGTTCATCCTACCTTAAGAATAGACTTATTTTTTTGTCCTGAGAGAAAGGTGTGTCTGCAAGCTTGGAGGCCTATTCGCAGCGCAAAGAAGGCGTCCATCGCTATCGACTGCAAACTTTTACACGCTCTGAATTCTGTATATAGATCAAACATCCTATGCGATAATTTTATTGTAACATTCTATTTAATCAGCATCTATGTAAATAAAGGTTATATGGTATTTCAAGAAGCTTTCGGCGCTGTTGGATGTGTGATTGTGCACATGAGCCCAAATTTAAAAAATAAACCAGAGCGTTAACTGAAATAAACGGGGTTTGATTTTACATTTTAGAGGGAGGAAAATGGGCCATAATCCCTGTTTTCTATAAAGAAATCTTCTATCATAAAGACGCACTAAATAGAATTAAAACAACCTCTGGATTTGCTTTGAGAGTTTAAGAAGACACATAAAACATTCACCCTAGAATTTGCTTCGCTTGGTAAAAACGGGACTTTCTGAATAATTGACCTCTGCTTTCAAGCCTGAAGTGCCATGACTTCAATTAGCAGCCGTCCACCGCCTTTATTCCCATTCTCTCCACCGGCTTTGAATACATCTTGTCGCAAGAAGGTCCCGGTCTGGCTGCGGTGTTAAGAAAAGCTTGCCTCCACCCCTGCGCCATATGTTTTCTTCCTCCTTCTATGAATCGTCTTTAACACAACTAGTGGACATGATTGATTAGGTTAACCCGCCTTTGCCTTGCATAAAACAGCTTCCACCGAGCCGTGGGCAATAATGGCACGCATCTGCCACTCTTGACTCGGGTTTGTTTGGAGAAAAGGAGAAGAAGGCACCAATGAATAGCAAATGGGTTAGTGTGAGGATCCTAATGAATAAACCTCAATGGGAGGCAGTGGAAATGCGACGTGCTGCTGCTGCTGCCAGCCGACCATTTGCAACAGTTTTGTAGCCACACCAAAAGTTTGGTGAATGTGCGTTAGTGAGGGAGGGGAGGTGGCTGCTGCTGTAGTTTATATAATGACAGAACGTAATTTATCTTAAACTGAGTTTTCCTTAAGCTTATGTTCAACATAAAAACCGTCCTGCAGGATTTTTAAAATCGCTTTTCCGCGCTTCCCTTTAAAATATTTTCGAGTTTGTTTTTTTTTTTTCAATTTAGAAACCTAATCAGATAAGCGTATTCAGATGTATGATTTTTAACCGAAATTAATTTAAAATGCTCTTAATAATTCAGAAGAAAAATCTGATAATTCGCATTCAGTTTATCGAACATGAAATAAGGAAAATAAAAATGAATTTAACAACATTTCAAATTAAATTTTAAAGAATAAAACATTTTACAAAATAAACGTAAAAGGTATCACATCGTTTATTTATTTATTTAATTTATTGCTAAGAAGAACAGACTGAAAAATGTTTTCTTATTTGAGACAATTGTCTTTTATTTTTAATTGTCCGTTATTAGAAAAACTCACTTCAATCAAAAAAAAGTGAAACTGAGGGAAAACTAAAGGGCTTGTTAGGACCGAGTTTTTTCTTCTCTTCTTTTGGGCGGGCAGATAAACACAGCAGACTGGCAAACACAATAGAAGTAATCGGCTGGAATCGTGGAGGTTGAAAAGTCAAGTAGGCCTTTTGTTATAAAGACACTCTGGACTGGCAGCAGGAACAACGCAGGGGATGGAGCCTTAAATAAAAGTCAGTGTAAAATGGATAAAGCTCCCAATAGGATTAACCTCCTGATAAAGCTACAACATTTTCTTTATAAATAACTCCCATTTTTGAAAACTTCAATTTATTGTGATTTTTACTGAGCTTATAACAACCGCTTTAATTATTAATCAGATAAATCTCTACAATCCTTTATTTTTTTGTTACAAAGTATCAATTTCATTAATTAAAACTTGGTTTAGAAATAATAATTAACATGTTTAATTGAATTGCTGTATGAATAGCTGTTTTTCTTTGTATGATAACGTATACCATCTATTTGACTCTTTTCTTCAAAATGACTTTAAAACACAGATGGTCCTGTGCATCAAGAGACAGCAGGCACTTGGCTTTCAAAGTCACTGGGTCACGTTTAGATGCACATTTATAATTTAGTATAAAGAGGACCAAAAAACCCAGAGACAACCTGTAATGTGGTTAAAAGCTCCAACAGAGAACTGGAAACATATATTTTGGCGGTATGGTCACAGCTTTAGAAGATTATCATTTTGTTTGCAACATAAGAGTACCCTGAAGAGACATCCTCACGGGTGGAAAATCACGTGTGTGTGTGTTTGTTGGGGAGGGGGATTTTTTTTTTTTTTTTATAGTAACGTTTAGATGTTATCAAGCTTAATGTAAAAAACATGCAAAATACTTTTTTCCCTCAAGCTCCACCATGAGAAATTCCAGTGATTCTTTACTCAACAGCTGCCTTACTACAGGTTACTGACCTCCACACTTGGAAAATTGTTCTCCCCTTGATGAAGATGAGGATTTCTTCAATATGAACTCTAAAGTTATTTCTAACCTTTGCCCTTTAAGACACGTGAACGCTGATGTCTGTCCACATCTAGCACAGAACAAAAATATCCTAGATGTTATCTATGCAATATTACTGTTATTTTTTTTCTTAATATAAATGTCCAAACAAGATCTTTACGAAACCCCATCGAGCAGCCCAGCAAACTGTTGCTTAAATGGTTTGGCAGCAACACCACAGCGTACTTAGAAAGAGTAGAGACAGAAGGCTTGTATGTATTATCAGATCATGTCAGGTTATCAGAGACTTTGCTTTCACTCAGGACAAGATCACACACATCAAAGCTAGTCCGATGCCTGAAAAGCACCAAGTGTGCCATCTAGTGCCCATCTGGGAGGATTCGCTTTGCAAGAAGGGCAAAACAGCCACAGAATGAGACAGAGATAAAACTCAGTGCAAAGATAAAACTCCCTCAGTTTTCCCCAAAAGCCACGTGGAAAAATATCCATGTGTTATAGAAAGAAGGGGAAAAAAGAGGAAGTGGTTTTACATTCTGTTATACCGAAGAGAAAATTCACTGGACTCACTGAACATATGAAGGTCACCATAAGAAGCGCTGCAGTGACTCTGAAAACAGCAGTTTGATTGAAACGGGGGAGCTTTCTAAAGCACTTATCTCCAGTTTGGGATGTGAACCACAGATTTGTAACAGAGTGTGGGAGCATGGTGCTTCATAGATAAGGGCATTTATCAGGTATGCAGGACCTAACA